TTTTGCATTTATAATATTAAAGTATAAGTATGAAGAATGAATTTAAGATTAAACTAAATAATTATCGGTAATTTAAATACCGATAATTATTTAATTTATTACATTATATTTATTACCTTCAACGACGTAAAGACATTGACTTCGTATCCCGCATATTTTTAACATCAAACTAAATTCTAATATTAACGAAAATTCTTTTGATTCCAAAATTTCAACATTGTCGATAAAATGAAAAGCGTTCGCATTGTTTCACGAGTTATTTAAACAATGCCTGTTTAACTTGCTCATGCTAAAATATACATAAAGTTATATGTACAAATTTCGCAGAATACAATATATTTACTTAGTTATAACCTCTTTCATTACCTTGTATAATTAACCATAATAAAATTTAATCTATTATTGCATCTATATGAAAACCGTTGCTTTTATTCCTCTCAAATGTGGCATTTATACTGTCAAGATTAAATTTTACTAATATTATAAATGCCATAGTTTAAATGGATGCATCGATACAGATCTTTCTTACTTCGAAGAATCTAAAACAACACAAAGGATCTTTACAAAAAACTAGCTGTTTCCGTGCGACTTCATCCGTATAAAATTAAGAATTTTATTTCATTGTTTACGTGTGTAAAGTTATGAGTAAAGGCTTTATTATTTCATTTTAAAAAAAAATTACATTTCAAGAGAGCCTTGGCTCCTGCACTAGGTTCCATTGCAGGAGCCAATCCCTTTCCCCACTTGTGAAAAGCAATACATACTCGTAAGTGTTTAAAAAAATACAATGAAAAACATTAAAATTAGCTTATTGAAAATTGATAGACAACAATTTTAAAATATATCACAATTTTACTAATAACCGTAACCGTAAATCGTGACCCAGCGCTGCTACCTTGTGTCGATATCAAAGCCAAATTAAATTACTACATTCTCAAAGCGGTATCGACTGGCTCCGAAATCCGATAACCGCAAGAGGGATTGAATACCAATGAGGAAAAAATGCTTAAATCTTGCTCCCAGTTTGTATAAAGTATAGGTAAACATAGAATGTATAACAAACTTTTTCTTTTCCGAAGTATAAAGAGCTTAAATCGTTCAGCACATCACAAGTTAACATAATATTATAGTATCATCATCATCATCAACTTGCCCTTATTCCTTATGGAGGGTCGGCACAGTATGTGCTGCTTTTCCATACATCCCTCTCTGCCGTCATATCTGAATTCACTCCTTTCTTAAGCATATCCTCTTTCACACAATCCATCCATACTTTCTTTCTAGTATATTGCATAATAATTAAATTCAAGAATACATCATCAACTTGCTCTTATCCCTTATGGAGGGTCGGCACAGTATGTGCTGCTCTTCCATACATCTCTACCAGCCGTCATATCTGAAACCACTCCTTTCTTAAGCATGTCCTCTTTCACACAATCCATCCATACTTTCTTTCTAGTATATTGCAATTAAATTCAAGAATACATCATCAACTTGCTCTTATCCCTTATGGAGGGTCGGCACAGTATGTGTTGCTCTTCCACACATCTCTATCAGCCGTCATATCTGAAACCACTCCTCTCTTAAGCGTATCCTTTTTCACACAATCCATCCATACTTTTTTCGGTCTTCCTCTTCCTTTGTAGCCAATTAAATTCAACAATACATTTACATAAATGTCCAAGTTAAAGAAAGACGTAAACAAAGCTTCATTAATCTTGAAGGATTTACTTCAGATTTTAATATTTTATATGCGACAGTATTTTGATCGCTCTTCATAAATTCCGTTTAGTCTTCTTCCAATCTATCAACGTCACAAGAGACGTGTTTTTAATTAAAGATATTTGAAAAAAAAAATGTCAAAGCTACGAAGGCAACAGTTTTAAATTAACTTTGACATTAACATGAAACAACATTTTTTGAAAATACTGTCTATTAGAAAGTGACTAAATTAGGTTTATTTTTCATCACTTTATTGATTAAAATGTAAAAGAAAAAAATCTATACTCAGTAAGCTCGGAGAGACATTATCAAGTTTATATTGAAAAGTTTGTAGGCGTCAAAGTTGTTCCATCTGCAAGATTACATTTTGAAAGCGACGATTCTTACAAAATATTATCTTTATACATATCACAATTCGTTCATCAATTAAATAAAATCTACACAAACATTACAAAGAATAGTGTTTATTTTTGTTAATTTGAGTGTGATAAATTCAAAAACTATTCGGCTTATTTCAAAAGTTATGTCATCAGAAGATTACATTATCCCTAAATAATATAAGCTATTTTGAATATTGTTTTACATATAAAAAAATACATCCACCCCAACCAAATCTAGACTCCATTCATCTGTTAGAATTCTTTTTATTTATCAGCAAAAACATATCTATACTTAGTACATCTGAAAATATGATTTATAGTTTAAAATTGTTGAAGACCATTATAATCATTCTACTATATCATAGAGTCTGTCGGCGTGTGGGATACATGTTTTGATTTTTAATTCGACTTAGACAGTCTGATCACGTAGGTTTTGTACCGTATTATGAGTACTATCCTCACAATGCAAACAGCACGCTCCTTTATAAGCAAGCTTTTGAATGCCTAATACATGTAATTTTGCATCCTAATTTGCCTCATTGAATTAATGAACCGGACTTTCAATAGAACCGCTTGACCTATTGGTTATTATGTGGATATATTTGTATCTAAATTATAATAATAATATTAGATGGTTGGATGAATGTTTGTAGCTTAAACGGCTGAATGTATTTCATTGAAATTTGGCATAGGTGTGGAAGATAGACTGTAAGAAAACATAAGCTACATAGTTTTATTTTTTTATTCCACACATATGGAGTCGCATGCGAAAGCTAGTATTACATAACATGATCTCTGAACTCTACTCAATTCTATGTATTACATAGGAGACAAGTTTTCGTCTTTCAGATGTGTTTCTTATAGTATGTAATACTTTTAGAATATAAAAATATATGAGAACAAACGGCTAGTGATTTCATCCCTGCTGGTTTTCAATCTTCCTTGCGGCTAACGGTTTTCCAATAGAGGCAATTGCGCTCATACAATTTATTAATTCACTTTACTTCTATTGGCGTATACATCGAAATAAACTACATTATTTTAATACAACCTTATAAATATAAGTTTAAAAATAAACAATATTTTAACATTACCAATAACCATTTTTTTTCATGCGAATGTTTTTTATAGACCAAATTATTATTTTCGCTTATCTACCCCTTTTGTCTTTTTTACACAAAAAAACTCGTAGTCAGATTTGTTGATATCTTACTAATATTAAGAAGAAAGATTTGTATTTTGGTATGTATTGAAATAACTCCTAATTTCTATAAATTACCTCCTAATTCCTATACCATTAAAAAACTACGTTATAAGTATTTAGCATAGCCATTTTTTTTTTAAATCACTTCGACGAAATCGTGAGCAACAGCCAGTAATTATTAAAGTGACGTTTCGTTTGCGTCTACTAAAGGCTTTTAATAAGAACAATAGTATCAAACATTTTAATGAAAATATCACAATAATATTTCTCACGTTTGAACAATAACGGGAGAAGTGATGGTAGAGTAAATGACGTGTCTCGTTGCTCCCTAGAGATTGACCGCTTGCCTCGCGAGTGTAGCTGTCATGTTCACTCTGTTATGTAGTGCTCTGGATAACTAATGTATTGTTGGTCTGTATAATAGAAGAAATATAATACAGTGAAAACAACATATAACGAGAATACGAGTACGTAGTAATAAAACGTAACTTCTCTAGAGTAGTATTTCTTACTAAATCTGCACTAGGGCTGAAGTCTAAAGCGACTTCTAAACACTTTAGAATGTTATTTTAAATTGGTTTTTAGCATATTTAATACGGTACTACATATTTAATTATTATTTCAGAGTTGGGCAGACAAAACAGACAGACAAAAATTATTACGACAAACAAAATTCAATAAAAATATATTATATGTTTCGATATAATCGCAGTAATAAACTAAGGATTCGTTAGCAAATTCATAATCACTAGCTGAATAGTATTTAAGATTCAACACATTAAGTCAATACACAAGTTTGTGGAGGAAGTTGTTTGTAAGAAACCTAAGATAGTTCGTCGATTGTAAGACGATCAACAAACTTGTGCAATTTTCCACGCGGTCAAACATTGAATGGGATAAGTTTAATACAGGTTATTCCGAAAGTACACGAGATAAGTAAGTTCTGTGAATTAAAAGCTACAAGTTTGGATTATAAGTGACAACGCCTTTTTCAGTCTACAGATACCTCTACACTCAAGCATTTTCCTGTTATCACTGCGAAGACAACTGTACAAGACCATATAGTTATTTCATTTTTTACTAAGGAAATGAAAAGGATGATAATATGAACAGAACAATGTAGATATTTACCAGAAATTATTCGGATACATTGATTTCTATGAAACCAAAACTTTGTCTTTTTATAGATATTACACAAACGTGTGCACGTGAAATCGGCCCAGAAAGTGGAGAAAAAAATCTTTGATAACTGGTAGAATTTCTACCAATGACGACCGCTAGTTCTAAACAATTTTAAATAATATTTATGATACATTACAATGTAGATTAGTTACATGTTATATAAATCTGACATTAAAATATTGTTCAGGATGCCAGAGAAATTGTAAGAAACTTGTTATATTTGTACAATACGTTATATTAATAGGAGAGTGTAATATCACAGACAAATGAGGGCAATGCTTTACCAACTTCATAGTTATCTAGCAAAGGTTGTAGGAGACATTCATGAATATTAACATACATTATGTGTATATTTATAACATTCTTCATATTGTATACTAAAAAAGCTTAAGTAGCATTTAATTAACAGAAAATGTATTATTATTTCATCATTTTTTCTAATACCCAAAGTTTCTGAGTCTAAGTCGTGCTCAAGTAATGTCCCCTTGCCCCGCAGCTTCCGGGCATTCGAAAATAACATCGCCCTTTATCTTTCAGAGTCACATGAAAGTCAAACGAAGGCCTACTTTCAACGAAAAGGTAAAATACTTTTCACTAAGTCATCTTACGAGACAAGAAAATTTTTATAGACAAATGTGTATTACGTAAAATAAAACAAAAGTGTTGTAATGACACAGTTCTTCTTAAGTTTTTATTTTTCCAACTTCTTATTTAAAAGAAGAAAAGTCCCTTTCACTTAATAACTTACTCTGCATTTAAAAAATACACAAGCCTTTTAATGTATTCAAAAATACCATTTTCTGTTAGAAATTGTCAATATAATATTAAAGCCTGCATTACTTCTTTAAATGGTATGTCGGTTTTACATTTAGTGCTTTTTCTTTGTTTACTGTGTATTGTTTTGTTTGTGGGTCAACACTATCATAGCTTGGCCCGATTTGCGACGGTATACCTTTTAAATAGGTACAAAAGAGTATTTATGTCTGTCGAAAAAGTAATAATGATCTTGAAACTGTGCCCAAATAATAAGTCACAATTAGGTTTATTATTATAAGAGCCAAATTGTGCACCTTTGACTTAACTATCGTACGACGGTTGTGCGATTGTCAATTGTTTCGCAGTCGATTCAATTGTTTACTTGTGCAACTAAAAATCAAGTAATGTACGCACCTCCATATAAGTTCATATGTATCAAAGCGAGACTAAACAGTTATGCGATAGTTTCGTCTCAGGTATGCGCACGCTATTATAGACAAAAAATACGTATTTGGCACCACAAGCATTAAAAACATCTATTAAGGGTAGGCATCTGCAATTGCGGATGTTTATGGGCAGCGGTCGCTTTCCATTTCGGTGGATTCAGGTGGCCGCTTGCTTGTTTGCCACCTTATATTATAAAAAAACAATTTCAAAATGACATTTGCAATGTAATAATTGATTTTTGTATTTCACCTTAGGAATAATTGGTTTTCTAAAACATTAAATTAATATGCAAAATATAATCTTACTTCTTACTAATATCATAAATGCAAAAGTTTAGATGGATGGATGGATAAATGGATGGATGAATAGATGGATGTTTGTTAGAGTTTGTAGCCTAAACGGCTGAATGGATCTTGATGAAATTTGGCATAGACGTAGAGGATAGTTTGGAAGAACGCATAGGCTACTTACTTTCGTTTTTTTTTTTAATTCCACGCGGATGGAGTCGCGGGCGAAAGCTAGTCTATTCATAAAACTTAGTTATAGAATAGAAACTATTTAATCAAGTTCACCCTTGATTTCATTACCGAACTAAAATTTAATATGAAACATTTAACACACTGTTACAAGTAATTGGTCGTATTAACGAGCAACCTTCAGATATATTACGGTTTTAGGATATTACTGTACTCGTGTAAACTTTGAGTTTATTACTATTCAAAACCGAACCAAAGCTTTGTTATTTCATTATAATTGAAATGATTCGAGAAAATGGATTGAATGAATGAAATCCTATGGTGCACTATTTACCGTTTGTTGAGGGTTGAGGAGGTGTTAAAAGGTGACTGTATAATTCGCTGACTTTGAATCTCCTTTTTGGCAGCACCTTGGGCAACCGCCTAACCTAACATCGACACTGCTTACTAAGAATCCCTAAATTATAGAATTCGTCCTGAAAAAAATGATAACTAAACAAGCCCTGTTTAGTTAGTTAGTTTAGTTTACTTTTACTTAATTATGGCGTAGAATAATATAACAAATCAATGTATTTTATTCTCATTATAATGTAAATAAAATGTAGAGACTTTGTTAAAAAAGGTAAATGTCGAGCAAAATTAAAAGTTGAAATATTTTTCTATCGGAGCAGAAAATGAGTCACGCTCATGAAAGACGCCTGAAGCGATAATAAATGCGAGAAATGTTTTCTATATCTCGCCTTTTCGAGTAAATCCGTCATATGAACGACTTCACGGATAAACATATTTTTATTTACTTTAATAAATATCATCATGGAGGTATATAGTTTTACCTACATTATATTAAAATCTAAATCAGACTAGTTATATTATAAACTGACAGCAAACTGTTTTTAACACACGTCGAATTATACTTTTTATTTAAAAAATAAGGAAATTTAGAAAATTCAGATATATTTTTATCGTAAATCTAAAATGGGATATTGAGTTTTTAATAAAAACTTAAGCCAAAGCAAGCTAAAGCTGGCCTTTGAGCTAAGTTACTTTTAAACAACACACTTCGCAAGCGCTGAAACTTTTGGTGGCTTCTTGGAGCTTGAAGCGAAAGATTCTATAAATATTTTTCTATCTGTTTTTGAACGATTTTTATAACATATTTATCATTTTTTAGATACAGCATAATTTTCATATTACATTAACAATTACAAACGACGCCAACTATCATTACCGTAAAAGAATTAATCTTAAGATAAAATTACTTAAGATGTATCCAAGCCATGCTTATTCGCTGCTAAGTTGTTTACATACTAAAGATAAGATCTTTTTATAATCTAGATAAGTTTTTGCAAACAATTATGAACACAACTTCATATAATATTATTTAGTCCTCACAATTTTGAAGACAAATTTGAACAAGTTAGCAGTAAAGTTAAAGTACACTTAAGTCAATTATGAAACGAACGATTGAATCAATTTAACAGTAAGTTATCGGACGATGTGAATTTAATTTATACGTACAAGTACTAAGAATCACACAGCTTTGGTTATTAACAAAACGTCTAGGTGAGTACAAAACTTTATTCGAATCTATATAAAAATAAATGTAAAAGTTTTGTCTTTCCTTTTTTTAAATAGCCGTCATTGTACAGTTTTCGTTTCTTTGTTAACTTAAATTAAAATGAGCTACCTAAATAAACATACGTCGAGTTAAGCGTCTTTCCAAGCACAAAATGTTCCAAGATGTTGCGACAATTTCGTCAATGTTCTTAAACCGGATTATGAGCTCGTATTTTAGCTATAACAGCTGGCCTAACAGCGGACTGCAGTAATTCTAGACATTTATATAGTTTCTGAACAGCTGTGGCTCACTGTGTGGTCGCTCGTCTCAAGTTTCATAATACTCTAGTAATTTGAGGTCATTCCGCATTATTAACATCGGATAAAATTTATACATTTAAAGCCACTATTAGCTACTCATGTGGCGGACAACTATACCTAAGATTGACAATCATTTCACCTTTTTAATCTCTTTTTCCGAAGGATACAAGCCCTTTATGAACAAGAAACATTTTTTTATACTTTAGAAGCATTGAAGCTTATAATATGACTAATTGAGCCGTTTCTTAAGGTGTAATATTTGATACTTACTTTTTCTTTCGAAACTTAACGATTAGATGTGAGACAAGTGTATCAACACTTTAATTGACAGTTAAAGGTAAGTAACAAAAACGTTTGAAACAAAATTTTCCTACAGCAAAACTCAACGCTGCCTTAAAATACATTACGGCGCCGTCGCGTCGTGCCGACGCATTTGCCTTTCAAAGTTACATTATTCGACACCCGGCAGTTTTACTCCAGTCTGCCTTTGTCAAACTTTACTCTATACATTCCTTTCTTCACAACTACACTGCAAAGTTTTATATTTCACTAGGCAAAGAAAACTAATATACAATTCATACTTCAATATAAGTTTACATAAGCCCTATAAGAGAATTAACTTTTTTGTACTTCAGCTGACCTTCATCAGACCTTTATTCATATTTGTACTTATGGCGACTAACGTCCAGTTTGTTTTATTCCAGTCCAGCGATCCAATTACGTGCTGGATAACAACTGGTAATGTATTAATTAGAAATTACAATATGTTCCTGCTTTAGTCCGTGCTGGTATATTAAACTATAGACATTATCTGACGCCATACATTAAAGGTTAGAGTGCGTTTAACATCACATTTGATGTATCAAATAAAATGATTCGAGATCTTTTATGCATTAATAAAACAAAGTTAAAACTGAACATTTAAAATTCGATTTCAAATATTTTTACAAAATAGTTAAGTCTGGAATACATCTTCATTTTTAACTGAACACTTGAATTATATAAATCTGTTGTGTGTACCGGCTTTATAATTTAAAGTTTATTCTAAATGTCTTATATTAAATAAGATACTTCATAATTGCTTCTAACAGCAGACGTAACAACATGTAGTCGGAAACTTTGATCTTGTTAGTAAAGTTAAAACAACGTAGTAATGGTTTGTTACCTGATCATTATCATTATCAAGATATCCAAAGTAAAGTAGCGTAACTAAACGACGCGGTAGAGCGCTTGGAAATTATTTAGGTAGATAACTTTGTTATTAACTTAATGTAAAGCAAGTATAGGCTTGTTTAGCTTCTCTACATAGAGTAAATTTTGGAAAGCAGTAATTTTCTTACACTACTTGTAAAAAACGTCCCAATCTACCTTAAGCTTTTTTACAAAAGCTCACTTCAGCTGAAACAAGCATTCATAGTTTAGCTTTCAGTTTATATAAAAACCAACAATTTCAATATTCAAAAGATAACGCATATAGATAAGCGCGTGAAAGTAGATTTTCACAGAAGCTTTTAAAAAGATTAACAGTGCCAGCATTTGCCTTACTAAGTCACATTTTTTTTCGAAACCCTGACGTTAACTGAACCGCTGCTTTATTTCTTTTTCACACTTTGTGTAGGTTGTCTTTATACTAATCTGCTTAAAATTAAAACAATTATTACTCTATGATAGTATAGCTTTTAATTGTGAAAGAATTTGTAAAACAGATTTGCCTTTCTTACTCAGAGATATTTTGGGAATATCACTTTTTTTTTTTGTATTTCCGAATTTTTTGTTTAGACACTTACGTAGATGTATTTCTATTCACAAATGGGGAAAGGGATTGGCTCCTGCATCCTGCAGCACAGGGGAACCTAGTATAGGAGCCAAGGCTCTCATAAAACGTATATTTTCAAAAGTGAATTAATATACCCTTTATTATTATTATTGTTGTGTAGTGTATGATAGAATATTATACTGATGGAATGATGGAAACTTTTCTTTGACTCTTGATACTGCCTTGATAAAAATGACAAGTTTGAT